TCTCCGACTCAGATAAATAACGACATCAAAAAATTTGATAAGCCTATCATTAAAGAGTGCAGACAACTCGTACTACGTGTGCCTTGATACATTCAAGTTATAAATAAACTGGCATAACTTAAAAATACATTTTATAATTCTTAAAATACATTTTATGCTGTACTACACAATAACTGTTTAAGGCTTCAGCTTGGATTTTTATATCTCAAAACTTCCCAAAGACTGATTTTTAAGTCAAAGTTTCTTTGTGAAATTTTAGAAGGGGTAGAAAGAGGAGTTCACTTCCTTTTGATTTGTGGCTTATACAAATGAGGCTTACATAAAAAATGTAGAGACATTACATTTGTATCAGTAGTAAAATCAAAAATCTTGTTTTTATTAATATATTGTTTGAATATAACGTTTATATGATTAGCACTTCTGTTCTTCACAAGATATTGAATATTATGAGTAGAACAAAGGGCTATCTATGCTCTGCCCACCGTGGGCATCAAAACCCCAATTTTAGCATTGTACACTCCGAGACTTATTGCCAAGCCTCCAGGACACTAAGTATTAGAAATTAATATACACTCTCATTATAATAAAATAAAGATTTATTTAACTATGTCATAACATTACGGAAACCAGTGTCGGATCAAACAGATCTGAAAATGGGGGGTTAATCCATTTTGTAACTGTTATTGCTACGATCACAGGTCACTGTATCATACATGTATGGGCTAAAGTTCTCACTTTCTTACAAAAGTGGTAGAGTTTTTAACTTCTATAAAATGCTGTGAATATATATATCTGGAAAAGTGAAAACCAAACCCAAGTAAATGTGCAGTCCTGCTCAATTTCTTAAAAACAACAACGTAAAACCATCTTAAGTTGATGTGCTTAACATTTCTGTAATCCCAAAAATCAAGTAAGGTTCCTTTCGTTAATGGTTAATGCAATGTTATATTTGCAAGACATATTTACATACAGTCTGAAGTTTAGGTAATTATTTCCAGATGCCAGAGGCTCCATCTTATCTTTATAAGTTGATCCCTGTAGGTGTTTCTTATATTTTTGTAAGAACTGGTGTTTACAGTCTTAAATAAACCTTAATAATAATTTTTTGTGATCATTAATTTATATGTGTTCAACACTTCTCAAATTAGTGGCTTGTTACAAGCAAACATGAAAATTCTGAACAGTTCAAATAGACTTCCATTTTATCAATAAATGTTAGACTCCAGTAATGTGTGTAACCTGATACAGCTGTGAAGCCAGGAATTTCCAACTTTTACTTTCCACTGCAAGTCTTTCGCAAAGGTATGGTCCAGTCATGGTTACCATTTGTACATGGTCAGTTATAAGAAGGGTTTCTCAGTTATTTTAGATATTGTTTGTACTAGCCACAGCTGCTGTTTTGTCATTGGTATTAGATGAGTTGAAATTCTGTCCGTTCACTGTAACATTAGCATATATAGGTGGTTGATGGTTTGAATTAAAAGTAACTAGACCGTTTGGATTATGCCTTATAGCTCCACTATTTGGGTCTCCTCCACCATCTATTTCCACACCGAAGTTTGAATAAGATAAGACAGATGCTTCTTTTCCTGATGGTCTGTGGACAGGAACATTTTCTGTATTCTTAATTGGTCTGGCCTTTTTTCTGCAATTACAAAATAGAAAAAAGTGTTAGGACTAAGCTATATCAGCAATGACTATTTCGCAGAGTTTAACCAACTTTGAACCAAAGAGTTTTATTGAAGTTTTGTTTCATTTCTTAATGTATTATTCTGACCATTAGTGTAAAACATTTATAAAAGTTATACACAGTGTTTAACCATTTTTTATTGGTGCTAAAAGTAAGCTAAGAGCAATAACATAAACAGTTCTTAATAACTGCATAGCAGAAGTTATTACTTCAGTTGATACTCTAATTTACAAAATAGAATAATCTAAGTCAGAAATACGGAGCATAGCTTATGACAGAAACATGGGACGTCAGAATTTTGATGAGAAAGTCGTAAGTACAAATAGAATTATATAATGAAATGTGGGAAGTCTGTTTGTTGTATTTTTTGTGAGAAGTTAGCTTGTAGACTGTGAAATTGCAATAGACCTACCCTGATGAACTAGTAAACATTTTTAATTAAGTAGACAACACTTTCTAACTTTATTTAAAATCATAATTAAAGTTTGTACTTAAATTATACTTATGTCGACCACAGTTTCAGCAAACAGTATGTAATAGTGTTTGCATAGGAAATTTATCTAAATAAAATGTAACTGATAAAATTCAAACATAATTATATGTATCAGTAAGTTTATGGAAGAAAAATAAAGTGATTTGTTTGATTCAAAATATCTGATCGATAACTAATTACTTTTCACTCTGTATTAAAAACAGATAAAACTAAATCATTATACAGTTTACATAACAAATGGTAAAGAAATGTTCTACACAGCCTTCAAGGAACAAATGTCAATAAGGGTATACAAACAAAGATCTAAATCAGTAAACTATACCACCTAGAAAAATGATATAGTTTATCTATAGATGACATTAGAAAATCAGTGTTTTCATGTTTGAAATCACACTATAAAAATGATATAGTTTATCTATAGATGACATTAGAAAATCAGTGTTTTCATGTTTGAAATCACACTATAAAAATGATATAGTTTATCTATAGATGACATTATAAAATCAGTGTTTTCATGTTTGAAATCACACTATAAAAATGATATAGTTTATCTATAGCTGACATTAGAAAATCAGTATTTTCATGTTTGAAATCACACCCTTGTTAACCATTTTTCTTGTCAATTTTTTAAAGAAACTGAATCAACCTGTGTGGACTTTGAAAAAAATTATTTAAAGCTCTGTATACAACTGTGATAACCAACAAAAGAAGTTAAGTAAAGTAAGTCATAAAACGTTAATTTAGTGAATGTGAAGTTAGACCGTGTGATTGTAAGTTTAGCTGTAACGGATGATATCTTAAAGTTCATTTCACAGTTTAACACAGATAAGGAGAATAATTTGTCTTGTCAAAGGGTGTTATAAAGTAATTGAACCTGTCTATGCGGACTTTGACGAAAAGGAGACAATTATTTAAAGTTCTGGATACAACTCTGGTAACCCATTGGTACATAAGTGAATTTATTGCAAATTGTATAGTAAGAAACAGAGTAGTGAAAAATTATTTGTCTTAACAATTGGATTCTAAAGTAATTGAATCACATTGTGTGGACTTCGACAAAAAGGAGACAATTATTTAAAGTTCTGCATACAACTGTGGTAATCCATGGAGTAACGTAACTGAATTATTCACCGATACTATTGTGATAAGAGTAAAGAAAAATAATTCGTCTTGTCAATTAGATTCTAAAGTAACTGAATCAGCCTGTGTAGACTTTTGACAAGAGAATTATTTAGAGTTTTAGATACAACTGTGATATTCTAAAATGTAAAGAATTTTTGTACCTACGTTTAACTTGTTTTAAATATATTATCTTAAAACAAGTGGATTGTGTGCTGTCCATTTATAGCCAACAAGTCCCAAACATTTTCTGTAAAAGAACTGAGACCTTTCTAAAACTTGACATTTTTGCTAACCTGATGGAAATTATGTTGCAATGTTGTAGTATAGGACATCAATGTTGATATTTTGAAAATTGTATTCCAAACAAGTTAACAGTCATAGTCATTTTAAAACAATAGATAAATGACAAAACAAAAAAAAATAACATGAACGGTTTGATTAGTAAATAAATATGGAATTTCAACTACAACAAAAAGTTACAAGAAGGAGTGCTATTATAAGTAAGTATTTTTAACAGCACTGTTAATTAAAAATATGCCTTAGGGAAGTGTAGATAAACTGATACTCATTTTACAAAATTAAACTTATTAGTGTTAGCATATATTTTGTGTTTCATACTTATTCTACCACTAAACATAGCTTCCTTGTGCTCTACCATAATGCTACATATAACGTTTTGGTATTGGTGTTTTTTTTTATTTATACAACAACGTTTGTTTAAGTAATTGCCATTATACAAATCAAAAGATCAAATTTTCCACATGAGTGACATTTCATGTGTGATCACTATTCGAACATCGTCATATGGTTTATGTTAATAAGAGGAGAAAAAACACCAGACAGTACTTGAATACCACCTGATAAAACTTTGAATCTTCAAATCTTTGCTGTTAATGAATGTTACACAATACATTTATCTAGAAATTTTTCAAATCCAGCATTCAGCTTTTGAATATTCCTAATGGCAAGGTTAGATATAATGATTTAGGGATTTTAATTAACACTTTAAAGTAAAAATTTATAACATTGATTTTCTTAATGTAAACATTACTGAACTACTTATGGAATAGTTTAATATTTCATATACTATCCTAACTGAGACTTAATCCTAACCTTTTAAAACATGCTTCCACCAATAATGAGCTGACAACACATGTAACCCAATGACCTTATACCAACAATATTGTTACGTCTCTGGTTGTTTGTTATTTTCCCGTTAAAAATTCCTTCCGAAAAACTTCAGCGATACAAGTCCTTTCTTAAATAAAACTAGTTTATTCTTTCTCAATACAACTTTGCAATACACTTAATTTCCACAATCAGTTTAACTTAAACACACGCTATAATTCACGCACTTTACTTACTACCGCGCTTGACTCAATTGTCCGTCTCTATCTGTGCCTGTCTGCAATTCAATTCCGAATAATCAATTTCGTTTCATCTGGCGCACTTATAT